TTGCTAGGAAATGGAAAGACTTGGAAAAAATTATATTAAGTGAAGTAAGCCAGGCCCAAAGAAACATAGGTCCCATGGTTTCCCTTGTTTGCAATGACTATTACACATCTAGGACAAGCAGAGAAGGTCAAGGCTATGTACATATGACCACATGAGATAGTGTTTAGCAAAATGTACCCCAAGGCAGGTATATGAGTGGGTTTTTTTCTTTCTTGTTATTGTTTTTAATGTACTTACAATGCACTATGTGATTCTTCTTTTTCTTTTATATGTTCTTCCCCCAGAGTATAACCCCTGTTCACTGGCTTTGATGCTGGTATTCTCCATCTTGTATATACATTTTTGTAAGTTGGGGAGGGGAAGAGATATAATGGAATGTTTAAATGGGGATGCAGTTTGACTCATTGTGACAATGAGATGTACAGAAAACTATGTTGAAAACAAACTTTACAATGTTGGGTGGCCGGTTGGGAGAAGTTGGAAGGTGGGAAGGGAAGGGATGGTAAGGGGAAAAGAAAGGAGGAGGTAACAATGCTCGCTACAAAATGTACTCATTACCCTACTCATGTAACTGTAATCCCTCAGTACAATATTTTTACAATAAAAATATATATAATAAAAATTCAGCAAAGAAACTCTGACTTAAATAACGGTATTGACCAACTAGATGTAACAGACATCTACAGACAATTCATGCAATAGCATAAGAATATACATACTTCTCAACACCCAGTGCATATTATCCAAAGCATATCTCATGTTTGATAATAAAGAAAATTTGTGCAAATTCAAAAAAATGGAAATTATACCTTGCATCCTACCAAACCACAGTGGAAGAAAATTAGAGCTCAACAGCAATGGCCATCACAGAAAACATTCTAATTCATGGAGATGGAACAACACATTGCTGAATAATCAGTGATTCACTGAGATTAATATGGAATTTAATAAAAATGAACATGTAAGTGCCAGTTCCTCTATCGAATATCAAAGGCTGTACTCAGAGAATTTTTTTTTAATCACTGAGTAGCTACATCAACAAATTGGAAACATCTTAAATCAACACTTCCCTGAGTAGCTTGCCCAAGGTCCTTGAAAAAGAGAAATAATGAAATCTGAAATCACTATATGGAAAAAATTCATCCATAATAAATCAGAAATCAACGTATTACAGACTTAAAAAACCATAGAAACAACAAAGCACAGCAATGGTTCTTTCAAAGCATTACAAAATTGACAGGCCTGTAACAAATATGACTAAAGGAGAACACATTCAAATTAACAAAATTGGAGACGAAGATGTGAACATCACAACAGAAATTTGTGAGATTCAGAATATTATTGGGCAATATTTTAGACACCTTTATGATAAAAACAAAAACTGGAGACCCTGGGAGAAATTGAAGCATTC